CATTTATTTTTTGGAACAAACTTTATATAAATAATTATCAAATATTATTATCAGTATTCGTCAGAATCATTTTCACTTTTTGAGAGTTTATCTAAAATGGTAATGTTTTCAAGGCATGAAGAAGAAAGACAAGTTATATGAAGGATATTGTGTCAGTTTTAATGTTATGTAACTAAATCATCTATCATGGCTGCCAACCAAATGTATCTTTGGGGAGAATACATTTGTTTTTGTCCTATCTAATTATGTTGTAACCTTTATAGGTATATCTTGTGATCCTTATGTCACCATGACATCAGAAATGACATCACCCATGACATCACCTGAATGACATCAACTGTATAACACTAGACGTACGACATGTTCCTGGATTAAGTACATTTATTTTATACAATATATGCTGTATTCCCTGTGTTTTAGGGATTTATACGTCTGATTATCATATAGCTACTTTCTATTTCACTTAATAGTCCTGTTATTCCACTAGGGATGGATGAAGAAGCTGAAGTCCGCCTCCTCATCCATCCCTAAACTCATCTGGCTTATTATTCTTATCTCGCTGTCAGGCCAAACAGAGGATATCCAGTAGGATGCGTCAGGCCGTTGTGTCCTTGGGCAAGACACTTTACCCGCATTTGCTCCTGTGGGTAATGTCCGCAGTAATGACTCTTACATGTCTAATATGTGTAATGTGTACTTGTAAAGCGCTTTGAGCACCTGTAAAAGCGCTCTAATAAAAAATGTAATGCATTATTATTATTATTATGTATTCCCGTTCACTTCCCCTGAAAAGAACACAAACAGTGAGAACAGCTATTGTCCTGCCAAATGGTTAACAGTAAATTGCATGACAGTTTGTCAACAGTTATTGTGTTAGATTTGGCTAGTTGAGGGTTTATTCCTAAACACATATAGCCATCAGTCCTGTGTCAGTCATTGTCAATCATCTATACAGCAGCTACTTCAGCCCATTATCTCTAGGACAAACAGTACACATATTGTATCCTCCTTTAATATTCTAATGGATGCATACTATGAAGGTAGATATGGTGCAAAATGCGAGACCTGATGTGAGCACTTGCAGAAAAAAAATCGGAGCTTGTGTGCATACATTTACACTTGTATAAAACATCCACGTAACTATGAACCAAATTTGAAGTCACAGAAGAAAAAAAAAAGTTTTGTAGCTTGTAGAAAAAAAATGAACTTAGTGATGAAATGTTCACTTGCAGTTAGCCCCGCAGTCATCCAGTTCGACCTGACTGTGGCTGTGACTGTGTGACTGACCCATGACCCAAGCCTCGTTGTTCTGATAGCTCCGCCCCTTCGCTCCAACCCCCCTCCCTCCCCCCACATCTACAGGTGAGGTGAAAATTACTTTTGGGACACATTTATCGCAAGAAGTGTAGCAAAAGACCGCAGATTCGTCGATTTATACTGCCACAGAGCAGATTCGTCAAGTTGTAATGACTGATTTGAGAGGTTGTAATAACCAAGTTGCAGTTGTAATGGAATATATATTTAAAAAATATGTATTTTTCAATTCATTTTTTTCTACAAGCTACAACACTTTTTTTCTTCTTCTGTGACTTCAAATTTGGTTCACAGTTACGTGGATATTTTTTACAAGTGTAAATTTGGTTCACAGTTACGTGGATATGTTTTACAAGTGTACATTTGGTTCACAGTTACGTGGATATTTTATACAAGTGTAAATGTATGCACACAAGCTCAGATTTTTTTTCTGCAAGTGCTCACATCAGGTTTTACACGCTCTCGCATTTTGCACCATATCTACCTTCATACATACACATAGCAGATAACACAGTGACGTGCGGTGAGGTTCATGGCTGGTGAGGCACTGACTCTTTCAGAGTCAGATTTACAAATATTATATTTTGACCGTAATCAAAATGTTCTGTTATTTTCAAAAGCTTTTTTAGTCTGATGCTTCGATTCATTTTAAACAGACTGTTCAACAAAAGGATATCCAAAATCTAAATATTGGATTGTTCTTTCTTAGTAAGATTCCATTTTCATTACAATTGTGGTCTTACCTTGACTTGAAGATGAAGTCCATGCTATCCTTCTGGACAACAATCTCCATTACATTTTTGTAAAAGTCCTCCTTATCTTCCTCTAGTTTCAAAAGTTTAGTTTGTTGTTTGCGTCTACCGTCTCTGCGTAGAATAACAGTAGCAACAAGAACCTGTGGGCTCACGTGCGCCCCCTTCAGTGCGGCAGAGGTTATGGCTGCCTCCCCTGGTGCTTTTTTCATTGCCGTTGTATTCTTTCACACACAGTGACGTCACGAGCTACCCACAATGCAACGCGCGCCATATATATATAAATACGCCATTTTCCTGGAGGCGCAAATATCCTGGAGGTGCAAATATAAACAGCTAGCTAACGTCGCCAGGCAGAGCGCACTAGGTTTTTTTTCTGAATTATCGACCGAAGAAATCGCTGCATGTCTTCGGATTACATCTCTGGACTTGAGGGGTGTGCTCTAGGTCGTTACCAGCGTAAACTAGAGCTGTGTGGGTTGTCGGATTGCCCTTACAGACTGCCTGCAGATGTATGGAAAAACGACCCTCGAAAGTGGCCTTCGTCGATTTTGGCTGCATCTACGTCTAATTTTTGGAAACACCAGGTGAATACCCCACTTGTCACAATAATATTATCATGCCATTGAATATATGTGGTATTTTAGAGTTGACTAGATATTGATTAAGGCAATAGACTATGATATTCAGTACAGGAAGCTTAGCAACACCTAGACGGTGTACGGCTAAACCCTCGGCCTGCTTGCACCTCGCGTAAAATGGCAGATACCGGAAGTACGGTGTCGCCCTCGGCCCAATACCCGTATGTGTGTGTGAAAGAATGATGAGACCAACGAGCCTAAATATCATATATATGTGAAATAAGTTATTTAGAGACTATGGATGGCGAGGATAAATGTAATAAAGGGATCTACAAACATTACATTGGTGAGATACAGTGAGATGGTAACAGGCATGCGCTTAGGGCCCGCTTTCCAGCCAGTTTCTGTGGGGTGACGCATTCTGAGGTGAGGCAGAGCTCATCTGTGCCTCACTCCTCATCGCTCCTACAGTATATGTAGTTGTAACGGAGCTTGGCCAATTTACTGATTTTGACTATAAAAAGCGATTGGAATCATACAGAAATCACACTTACAACACAGATCAGTGGAGACATTTTTATTATTATTACTATTTAGTTTTTCTTTAGTTGTTTTTCCGTTACATTGGAGTATGACAGGTGAGGCTCTGCCTCCCCTGCCTCCCCTGACTGCACGTCGCTGAGATAACACATCACAATTTACCACAGATGAGTTGACATTGTGCGGCCACATACTTTGCAAAGACTTTCTTTGGGTCAACACTTTCTGTGGGTATTTGGAGAGTAACACAATAGGATGATGATAGCACAAAGTGAGAGGGAGACAGCAGTTATACTTGGGCAATTGAAAAATGATTACTGTCATCAAAATAACTATTTTAAGATAGTTGTATGTTCAGCACAAGTTCCTAAAAAATCACATGGTACAACTGTATTAAATCCAGACATTCTGTAAACAAGTGGATTAATGATAATGCTACTACCACAACCTAGATTATAATATTGGGCATTATTTTGCAATAACATTTTGCATCAACAGGTATTGAATGGATTGGATGGTGAGTGTGTGAGAATGCAGAACATTCCTTTGTAACCAGTAACCATTATTACAAATGTGCAATAAGTTATAAACGTATTCACCCAATTTAAGAAATAACCTGATAAAAACGCTTAACCAAGGACTTGTGCACGCAATACAGAATGACGAACAGAGAACAGCCAAATGAATTGCAGCCGGGGGTTTACATGCGGGCGAATATGAGAGTAGCAGTTGCCATGGAAACAGTAGTTTTGTCTCCCACTCAGCTCAATGGCAGAGCAAGTGGAGACTGTCAGAGTATTATCAGAGATGATGCTTTGATTGGCTCTTTGATGGATCTGTATGACAAGTTGCCGGAAACACTGCCCTATATACTCACCCCATGCCAGACTCTTCCGTTTCCTCTTTGTCTTGGCCTTTTACCTCTTTTTCACGCTGAGGCAGAGTGTTTCTGAATGAGAGCACCTTGACACACAAGGAGGGCAGCTACATGTGCAACAGACAGAAATGATTGCAGTGAAACTGCCGTCTGCGATACAATGACAGGACATTTCATTCAGTAATTCATGAAGCAGTTTCAGTAGCTGCATAATGAGAGTTTCTTATTTTTCTTGTGCTCTTGATAAAAATATTCAGTTGATACGCTGCATGTAGCAACACGTGAAAGAACAAAGATTCATGGTGTGGTTAGAAAGTTATATCGCAGAGAAGACAAATAAATATGTTTGTCTATCATCTCATAAATTCTTCTTCATTAAAACATATTGTAAATAAATGTTGTTCCTCTTCAACATAAACTGCCCCTGAAATGCCAGCACTCTGAGGCGTCATCAAAGTATAAGAGTTTGCCCTGTGGAGCTGTATTTTCCCCCAGCTGACCTCTTGAATCTGATCCTTCTCCATCTGATCCCACAGTCCATTTGTCCGCCCATGCCTCTGTTCTGTCTGTGCAGGCTTGGAGAACAGCAATTTGGATAACATACCTTTGGCATTTACCAGACCGAGCTTGTATCTGTGGGCTCGGAGAAATGCCAAAGGTGCATGGGTTGTGTGTGACCTTTTAGATACAATCTCCGAATAAACTTTATGGGAAAGGGATTTGTTGCAATAGACACCATTATAACCCTGTGTCAACACCTCTGGTCTGCTAGCATTCACTCTATATGAACAATGATTTAGATTTTGTGTGATTGTTTCATAAAACATTGCTGTATAATGTTAAGCTCCAGCATGAATTCAGAGATGAACATTACCATACGGCAATTAACTTGTTGAGCAACACAGCCACACCTAAATCCAAAGGGAGATGGTGTACGTGTGTGTGTGTGTGTGTGTGTGTGTGTGTGTGTGTGTGTGTGTGTGTGTGTGTGTATGTGTGTGTGTGTGTGTGTGTGTGTGTGTGTGTGTGTGAGTGTGTGCGTGTGCGTGTGTTGGATTTGCTCTATCCTTCTATCTCTACAGTGAGTCACAGGATTGAAAACGCTGCTTTAAGGCCCCTAGAGTTTCCTCCCTCCACAAGGCAGGGCTGTATTTAAACACTTGCCACACTTCAGAGATCTCCGCTAAATGCCTTGCTTTCCACATTTAGTAGCCATTACTCAGCTTAAAACGCCTTTTAAGTATGTGCGAAAAAGGGGCAGTGAGATGGGATAATGGGAGGAAGATCACACGTTTTGCTCTACTTGTTTCTCATTAACTTTGTATATTACATTGATTTTTAGATTTTTTTAGATTTTTAGATTGATAGATAGATACAAAATAACATTTCACAATTTGAAAACTCCTGCACAGACTTTACAGAGCAGCTTTTGAAAGAGAAAAAATGCTGGAATGAATCAAATGTGGCTAGTTCCATCCTGTATAAGCTGCTTACTCTGAAACAAGTTGAATCTTTGCAAAGAGGAATTTGAGTGGGGAAGGGAACTTCATAAAGTCCCTGCAGCACACCCTTTCATTTGCCGGTATGGATGGAATGTGTGTCTACTTTGTTGCAGCTATTCCAAAATCAAGCTTACACAGTAATTATCTCCCAACCCATCGCATTTCAATGATCATCTGTAAAACTACTAAGCTATAATGACAAGATGGGCAGGTAGCTGCTGCAGGAATTTTGGACTTCATGAAGATTTGTTTCCACAGGAATTGCAACCTGATAACCAAAAATTCTGCGGGCAGTGACAGGATCTTCAATTGTTCCCGCCACACATTGAACTATGGGTTTAGGAACAAACGCTTTACTTTTAAAATCTCTGATTATTATAGGAATAGGAGCAGATATATAATTGACTGGCCAAGTAACCTTTATTGATATTGCAAGGGTTATCATTTTGAGTATAGAGGAACTGGAGGAGGTTAGTGAACTAGGGACACAATCACTGAATTTGGAATACTGTATACATGGCATACTGTTTGTTAATACTAAATTGTTTTACGATTTAGCAATCAAATAGCCCCTATACTGTTTAATGTTGTTGTATCGAACTCAGTACTTCCACATAAAGCTCAACGTTTAAGTTTCTTCGTTGCTGTGGCAGCTCATGCCAAGGTTTTTCTCTTTTTCTACTCTTCAGTCATATCTTCGCCCTTCGTCTGCCCATACACAACCATCTGATGTTTCTTTAAAGAAGTCAGCAGATCGCTACTCCATTTCAAGGAAGTCACATTCTCTACTGACATCACTGAGGAGGGTGATGGTGCAGTTATCACAGTTAGGTAGTTATCAGAAAAACTGAAGAAGATATCAGTCCCTTATTTATAAAGATCAGGCTGTGATGCTCTTCCACTGCACATGACAGCTGCTGCATCATACCAGCATCAATGTGACGAAGGCTCTGGTTCATGTGAGGACACTCCAGCTGGGATAGTGTGATTAATGTCTGAAAAAAGAAAACCTCTATTACATGCGACTCTAACCATTTACAGTTGCAAGAAAAAGTATGTGAACCCTTTGGAATTACCTGGATTTCTGCATAAGTTGGTCATAAAATGTGTTCTGATCTTCATCTAAGTCACAACAATAGACAAACACAGTCTGCTTAAACTAATACCACACAAACAATTATATGTTTTCATGTTTTTAATGAACACACCATGTAAACATTCACAGTGCAGGGTGGAAAAAGTATGTGAACCCCTAGGCTAAAGACTTCTTCAAGAGCTAATTGGAGTCAGGAGTAGTCAGCCAACCTGGAGTCCAATCAATGAGACGAGATTGGAGGTGTTGGTTAAAGCTGCCCTGTCCTATAAAAAATACACACCAGTTTTGAATTTGCTATTCTTAAGAAGCATTGCCAGATGTGAACCATGCCTCGCACAAAAGAGCTCTCAGAAGACCTACGATTAAGAATTGTTGACTTGCATAAAGCTAGAAAGGGTTACAAAAGTATCTCTAAAAGCCTTGATGTTCATCAGTCCACGGTAAGACAAATTGTCTATAAATGGAGAAAGTTCAGCACTGTTGCTACTCTCCCTAGGAGTGGCCGTCCTGTAAAGATGACTGCAAGAGCACAGCGCAGAATGCTCAATGAGGTGAAGAAGAATCCTAGAGTGTATCTAGAGACTTAAAGAAATCTCTGGCACATGCTAACATCTCTGTTGACGAATCTACGATACGTAAAACACTGAACAAGAATGGAGTTCATGGGAGGACACCACGGAGGAAGCCACTGCTGTCCAGAAAAAACATTGCTGCACGTTTGAAGTTTGCAAAAGAGCACCTGGATGTTCGCAAAATATTCTGTGGACAGATGAAACCAAAGTTGAGTTGTTTGGAAGGAACACACAACGCTATGTGTGGAGAATCCAAAGGGTTCACATACTTTTTCTTGCAACTGTAAGTGATGACTGTATCATGTTCAGGTTTAACCATTGCAATAACAATACACATTTTGGATTGGTGTGACCTACAGCTAGGCCCCAATAGTGCTACAGCTAAGATCCTATTATGGACAAAAAGTGAATACCAGAAATGCTTAGAGAATTCCTTTCATTCTAAATTTGAAATACCTTGCGACATTCATTCCTCCTTAATAGTTGTGGCTGAGAGGTTCACAGACCTGCTAGCCACTTTAGATTTGTGAAGAACATAGAAACTACTTTCGCAATCCAAAAGGTTATATTTTAAACCTGGAACATGTATAATTGTAGGAGCAAAGTGAAGACAATTACATGTTTCAGACAAAAAAGCCAGAACAGTACACTAAGTGGCCACTGAGTCAGGCAAGGGGACTCAACATCATACATACTTGAACACCTGGAAGGTAAGGAAACACAATATGCTTCTCACATTCTTGGACAGACTTTCAACACTTTTTTTCTTGGTTAAACTACTGCAAAGTAGGAAGAGTACGAGTGAGTGCTGTGTATTGCTCATATTTAGTCGATACTGTACGCTACAGCAGCGAATGGGCAAGGCCACAACATCCCAGCTCTCTGTAGAGTACATCTGTTTTTGTCCACATAGTAGGAGGAGGAGTGCTGACATTTGATATGCAAAGGCCTTCTAATCCCCCAAGTGCATCCCAGTGTTTGCACTATCAAAGCATGTTTTTTTCTGGCAGAATGCGCCTACTATCACTTTTAAATACCAAGACTGACTCACCCCTCTGCCGGAAGAGAACTTTACAATATGAGCTGAGGTATAAAGATCCACATTATCAGTCCAGCTTACTCTCCTTCCACAGCTAAGCATGACCGCATGCGGCAAGACGTTTCCCACTGCCAACGTGACATGACCGAGGAGCACCAGCTTTGAGTGGGTGATACTGAAAACTAGCTATAACATGACAGTGACACTAAGAACATGAAGTGCACTCTTTGCTTTCTGAACTCCACAGGGTTTTCTAATTACTTCATCTTGGTGTTATGTTCACAGATGGGCCGAAATTTCTCATGAGGCCCATAACGCTGATCAGCTAACATTTGCTGAGTAACAGAAGAGAGCTTTCCCTTACATAACCTCAGAGAAACTGCCACTTTTCATCTGGCTTGCTGGGAAAGAGGCAGCAGTCTGTTATTAATGTGTGTCATCCCATGGCATCCATTTGATGAAGTTGCTGCACTCCTTTTCAGATGTTAGGACCATGTGTAAAAATGCCCTCGAAGGACAGAAAACTTCACATCAACAACACAACCTATTTCTGTCTAACTAAAGCATCCATTCCAGGGGCCATTACTGTCAACACACACACAATCAGACCTGAGGTGTCGTCATGAATAATTCCTGCTCCTTCTTCTTGTAGGCTACTTCCTGTTCTGCTTTTGTCTGTGTGGGTATGTTTATGCATGAGACATTCATTATTGAACTCTGAAGAGCACAGATATTCTGAGTGAACATTCAATGGGATGACTCAAACATCCATGTTCAACTTCCATCATTATATAAGCTAGAGAGGTGAAGAGGTGTTCAGCAGACTGCCGGAACAAATACTCCGTGTTCCACATGAGTATTTGTTCCGGCAGCAGTATAGCAGAGAAGCCAATCTGTTGTAAAACACATGACTTACAATTATTGAACAAAGGACATAAGCAGGGAGAAGCTGTGCCAGATGTCTTTTTCGAAGCTCTCATTGATTTCCGACCAACCAATCTGGCCACCGGTGGATTGTTTCCATGGTTACAGTGAGTGAATGTGAACAGAATTCTAAGAATGATTGTATAGTCACTATGCCTCAAAAGCTATGATGTAATTATTAAAATAGTACAACAAAGTCTGTCACTTTATTAGTATGTCTGTCTTTCTAGCTGCATATCACTATTTGGCTGTCTAGCTGATGCTCAGTGCCCTTGTTTGTATGCCAAGCAACGTGTGCCTTTGTGTGAGTCTGTGTGTGACGAGGTCAGCCAAATTGAATCCTCCATTTATCACTAGGGAGGAAAACTCCACACAAGATGAGGCCTTGAGCCAGAGAATATAACTTCACTGTCAACCTGCCCTCTATTATATCTCTCTCTCTTTGTGTCAATTTCCTGGTGCAGTTTAAAGATGAAATACTTTGATTTCGAAAAAGGTCACAGAAGTGAAATCATTCTCATTGAACTGTACATAACATGTTCTTAGGATGTACTCTTTACACGATGAACAAGGACACTGTTCCTTTTCAGGTTTGTATAACTGCATTAAAAGAAACATCATTACCAGGCATCAACAGATTTTGAGGGCAGACATAAAATGTAAAAGCAGTAAACATCTAACAACATCTCTGAGCTGACTGAGACAACATTGTTTCTGAAAATGGAAATGGAAATTAAAGGCTCAATTAAAAAGGACAAGTACACAGGAGTAGATTGTTTTTTTTTTAGAAAATGCTTTTTTATTATTAAATAAATAAATACTGCACTTTTTACACATAAGTTATTCAGGACATTT